GATCGATAGCGAAAAGATAGAGATGTTCATGTGGATGATAGGAGGCACGTTCGCGACAGAAGCCGTGCCATTGCCGGCGTGACAATGGTGGCGGATGTGCTTCAACGGCCCTTTCGCATCCCCCTCCCCCACCCTCCTCCTGCCCAAGCAGCAGCTGCTTATTCATCGTCGTGTAATGTGTCAGTGTTCAAGTTGACCCTAAATGACCTCTGACCTATGCTAGCTGTGAAATCGCCCACTACCGAAATGAAAACTCAGCTCCCAGCTGGCTAAGGGGTAACACGTTACAAGTTATTTCAGCCGTTTCTTCACCGGTGTACCTTGTTGCCCCCTTTCGTCTTTCATCAGAATCTTGTTGCCATTATTGCCTTTAATCTTTGTCATTTTTAGTGTCTGTCTGGACAGCCACTTCATCCAGTAGATGTGAGTTTTGCTTCCCTCTATTGCTCGACTTATTTTCTTGGCTCTCTACAAATTATTTTTGTTGTCATACAAGGTTCCCGTATAAAACTCGTTTGTCTGCCGCGTCGGACGACTTCAAGGGAGCCAGTAAGTTAAGGAAGGTTCTCGTTAAGGGCGGAAAGGGCAAGCGTACATGGTTGCGATGGCGTGAAGGGACGCAGTGATTTTAATGTGGGTATTTAAGACTTGCTATGAAATGAGCAGACCCATGGCACGACCGTTCAGTCGATCTTTTACTGTAAGCCGCGGATGGATCTCCAAAGTTGGTGAACCAGGGCCTCAGAAACTAGCTGTGAATCGTCCAAAGTCACCGGGCAGGATAATGATCCCGTTTCTCTTTTCCCCCGGCTTGTTCTAGTTTCTTCTTTACTGCCGCACTAGCTTCACCTCTGGTTTCATATTTGATTGAAAACGATTTGTTGGAATTGTCGTCTTAATTCAGTACACGGACATTGCGAGAAGAATTTGGTTGGCACTGATTAACTCTCGAAAATTGAACTTTATACCTGGAATGTCACGCGTTATTTGGTACAAGGATAGTGTTTGCGCTCGCATACATAAAGCCACTATACTTGATCCTTCTTTCTCACCTATATGGTCATTGTCTGTATGGGTTCCGTCGATGCGACATCGTTTCTGCTTGCTGTGATCTGCATAAAAAAAGAAGGCAACTTCAGAAGGCACATCATGACACTATAATCAGTCACCATTTTACAAAAATGGCGGGATAGATTCTTCCATTCTTCCATTGGCTTGATCTGATTCTATCACAATTTTGTCTTTTGTGAGCAACATTTTTATCAATTAAATACAACCTTTTGACTCTTTTAAGAGTCTAAACCTGATGTTGGAGGAAGACGGAGAAACCGAATCTACAGCTGGAATGACTCAACCACAGTTTCCTAACTCACTTTCACAGTGGTTTGGTGAAAAGTACGTAGTTGCTTGTTTGCGTTCTGCAAAGATTTCAAAAGCATTCGGTTCTTTTTAGGGCCGCAGGTGAAAGTTCTGATGACGCGCAACCAAATGTACCTACTCCAGGTCTGTCTATTTTCAGTAAAGAAAAAATAAGTAAAGTTTGTTGATCATCACTGTGAGAACTTGAAATAGTTCAGCAACTGACCTTTTGTCGACGGGATGTGGTTCACTACGACAGAAAGCGACTCGGTTTTGCAGGCCGCAAAGTTTTTCCTACGGCGAACCTCAGGTCTTACCGCTTATCTCAGTGGACTGCGGTTCTTCAGTGAGAACTTGTTTCGCAACTGACAAAACGCGAAAAAGTTGGTTTCTGTCCTAGTGAATATAACCCTTGTCTCCGCCTGGTGTTTGAATTTTTGGTAGAGGTGGCCCTTGTCTCTCGTTTGAGTGTGTCTTTTCCTACAGTTGTGCATTTTTCTATCTTGAAAGCTATAATCTAAAAAATTTGCAGAATATGTTAACATCGGGACATTCAGCGACCTAGATCCTTTCAAGGATAGTTGTGAGGACGACATTTTGATGCTTTGCTCTGGCCGATTTGAAACTCAGAACTTAACTAAATCAGAAGCCACCTCGGGAAATGATGCGCTGTCAGTTTTCTCCTTTACTTTCATTTGTTCTTGATTCTAATCGTTGTGTATTTTAAGTGATAGGCACGAAGACGTGAACCAAATCAAAGCGGCTCCCAAAAAGAAACGAGTTCTAATCGAATCTGACGAAGAGGAGGACGATGATATGAAGCTTCCATTGGAGGGAACTTCTGAAGAGAAGGTGATCATGCTTTTTATGAGTTATTCCTGCTACCATGTAGTGGCCGTGCAAGAGGTTGCGTGCGCTTGCCCTCCTTTGCATTCCGAAACCACACAGAACTGACTTCTTGCTGTTGAGACGGTATAATGGCATTGTCGTGCGCGACATCGTTTATTAGATAGTTTGGACACCTTGTAGCTCCTTGAGTTTTTTGCGGTATGAAGCTCATGAAAGAGAAAGATGTGTAGTGGGGGTGGTATGGGGTCCAAGTCAGATATGTGGCGTTTCCGCGGCAGAGAGCACCTCATCAACAAAATTATAGGATGCAAAAAATGTGCAGCCCACCTGGTGCCTCCCTAGATGTGTTGCGCGATTTTTCTTTCATGACGCCTTAAGTGAAGTCACCTACCTCCGACATCTGTCTAATTCAGATATTCGCTTTTCACGATGGAATGGACTCTTTTTTGCATATACGAAACTGCACCATTTCCAGTCGAATCATCTGCACAGGGTCTAGTGGAGGAGAATGAAGTACTAGAGCGACCAACTCTTCAGCGAACAATTGTGCTTTCTGATAGCGAAGATAGCCTTCATTCTGATCATGGAGAGGACATCAAGAACGAGGAAGATAATGAGCGGGCGGAAGATGATCACAATGACTACAATGATGATAATGATGATGGGGATGCTGATGAAAACGGTAGTGGTGATGATGCAGAGGAGGAACCAGAGGGCGGCGAAGACGACATTGAGAGAAAAGGTTGGATTATCGATTGGTTTTTGGTTCAATTGGATAATCAAGGCCGAGTTGATAGTGGGCCGTGATGAAGAGAAAACGATGAGAAGTGGTCCAAAACCCGAGAAAAAGTGTCCCTTCTTAGCCCATTGATTTCCGCATTGATGCGACTCTTATCGATGCTGTCCCTTCAACGCTAACGCTCTCTCTCTCTTTTTCTTAAATGGCTGCGGTGAGTGGTTAGTCTGACCGTGGGCGTACCGTGCCAATAGCGGCAGGAAAGGGTATGCTAAGTGGCTGGGGGCATAGCCTCCCGTGAATTGCTTGTCGGCACCCACGTTCAGGGATGTGTTTGTCCATTTGATTGATTTCCCTTCTTCGATCTTGAACCTTATCGTGGAACCCTCTTCAATAGGGATGATATGATTTCTAGTGTAGCTACTAGCTGTACCATTTAAGTGTTTGTATCACCATTGAGTGTCCCCTACTAGTAAAATGTTATATCGATAAGCAGCATTGGTTTTTTAAGGTGTTTCACGTATAATGTACGTTTTACGAAGTTTTGGTTTTTTTTTTGTTAAATTAGTTTTGGATATTGTTCTTACTTCGCTTTCAGCTAATGATTACATCGAAGAAGGAAGCTGATTCGGACGACGAGCTAGCAGTTATAAGGAGGCTTGAGAAGAACGAATTTGAGAGGAAGTGAGTCTTGGCTTATCACTTTACTGTTCAGTTCCGCTGCTGATACAGTTCGCAGTTGAAGCGAGTTCTATTATCAGAGCATCGTGAGAAGTGGTTTCGATGACGAGGCTTCTCTTTCTGGTGACGATATTGGAAGTGACTTGGATGAAGATGGAGATATTGCAAACGAATATGAAGCGGAAGAAGGTATCATGGTCGTTTTTCTGTGCGTTCTTTTTCTGAAACTTGGTTGCTTTAGGAGATATAATGATGATGTTCCCGATTCTGATGTCATTAGGAGGCAAAATCACAAACTCTTATTGAAGCAAGAAAAGGATCGTGAGCACAAAGAGCTAGTTAAGCTACAAGATAGGTATGTTTTCCTCTCTATGAGCATACTCTTTTGATATCTCGTTCACTGCTGCATTTGTAGGTTGCTGGCCGATGGTGATTTGGGTGGTTCCGATACTAATAGGACATTCCGGTTAAAACTGCGAGAAGATGTGACTGTCGTGGAAGGCATGGAAGGAGACGCTGAGGCGCCAGAGGAAGAGCAGGATGAAGAAGTTTCTCAAGCTCATATTAGAAGAGTTGAAGCAATCAAATGGCTCATGGAGCACGTAAGTGTTGGTTGCTGTAGGAACTTCTTCGTATTTTTGACGATTTGCGTCTAATTTTTTTTTGCTGTGAACGTTTTGAAGTTTGAAAAAATATTCCAACTTGAAAAGTAAGATTAAATTAGCAGAAACGAAAATGTTGGCTCATAAGTTCATGCTTCTCTGGAGATCTATTCCTTTGAAGGAATCAACTCATGAGGGATTGGACGATAAGGAAGAGGAAGATATATTTGATGTGGCTGCTCGTTCAGTGCACATTTCTACAGAAGTCTGTGTTAGTACTGTTTCCAAAGCTCCACGATCTCTGCTTGGGCAACCCAGCCTCGCGAATGCGATCAAGGAAGTTGCAGGTCTGTACTGTTCATGTTTGAAAGATTTAGGGAATTCGAGCTTAAAAAACGTTAGCATTGTTTTTTCATTTTCAGGTGTTTCGAGTGCAAAACAGCTTTACGTTAATAACTCATCCATGGAGCGGAAGAGATCATCTTCGCCTTCCTTGGTGACGGCTAAAAGAAGCAAGACGATGGTTAGCGTGTTGAGCGTTTTGGACCATTCCTGAAACCTTAGACAGAAACAAATGCTTTTGTTCTCATTGATTTAGTTTGTATAGGTTCCTACATCCATTGATCTTGCTATGTTGTGATTGATTCTCTTTGTGACCTCGTCTAAAATGTAAATTGCACTGTACTTTAATATTGACAGTTTTTCTAAGATTTCTAACCTAGACATCATGTATTTGCCATTTCATTGATCTAGTAACTGTAAGTTTCGTATGAAGCTCTAGCTAAAAGGCTAACAAGCTGACTACTCTGTTAAGTATAAACCTCACTACTTACTGCTGCTTGATGCGGGCACACTCGCCTCTAATGATATAGATGATTCTGATCTTTGAACATAAATATTCAATTACGACACATTTTTCTAGCAAGCGTATCATACGCAATATACCTTCAATGTTGTTGTGCCATAAAGGTGATGTACCCATAGTGTATGACGTTTTTGAGCGTATGGTGTATGGCTTTTTTTTTTTTCAAGCACTGCGATGCTGCGGCGAGCGTTAGCACGTAGTTGGCAAGAAGCTGCACAAATTCCGCGCTGCATGACAACTTCAACACGCTGCTATGCTGCTGTGGGAGCTAAGGTGGTTCCTGCCAAGATCGACAAAAGCGTTATCGAAGAAGATGCTGAAAAGCTGTCGAAATTTGTCTGCATAAACTATTTTATTCAAGGTTAGTTCCCAATTTTCTTTGGTATATGAACTTAAAGACCGAGCCATTGACTACTGCACTGTAGTTACAATCATGCAATGATAATTGACTCAACGCAAGTCGTTCAGCTTTTATAAACTGAGTTCGTTTGAGAAGTGTGCAGCCGTGGCGGAGGGTTGCTTCACGAACTTTCGATTGAGAAGTTTTCCTATTGGCATGTGTTCAAACTTTCGGAAACAATTTTCTCATCCATGTAATCTTCCACACTTTCGCTTCTAACTTCTTACTTCCTTACTAATTCAAAGTGCTTTTGAACGCTAATTCGTTGGCAGGGCTGGTTCGTTTTCTTCACATGCTGAGGTGGTCTTATTTTCTCAGGCATTTTCATACAATTTTCATACACATTAATTACACGTGAATTCAAGCGGTCGGAGGTTTCTTTAACCCTTGGAGCCCACGCAGCCCATATGTGGGCTGCAGTCCTCCGACCGCATAGGACCTTTCAGCTCGCATTTCGTAAACAATTATTAGGTTTTTCATTCATTTTCTTTTCCAGTTTTATCCGATAAGATTTCTTCTGCATTATACAGTGGGTTCTTCTTTTGAATTTGCTAGATAAGATCCCTAAAAATTTCACCGAAGTCCCGCGCGGCCGCGGAACGTAAAACACGCGCGGTCTCCAAAGTGTTAAAGAGCTATTAATTGTGTACCTTTCGGGCTTCAGAGATACATGATATGAATTGGCAGCGTTTGATAAATTTGGTGAAGGAGTAACTGCTGCCGCTGGTAGAAGTCTCTGTAGGATCAGTGAAGCCTGACGTATTGTTCCATACGTCTTTAGCGACAGTGTAGAGCTAGCACAGTATACTTTAGACTGGAAGAAACCACATTTTTTTTGGCAAGGCTGAGGCCTGTGTCAGACTTTGCGATTCGTGCGAACGGCAGTTTGTTCAGCCGACGATTCACCAGCGATCAAATTGTGGGAAGTGGAGAAGTCCTTCTCCTTCGCACATAGATTGTCGCCACTTTCCCACGCTTTTGAATCGATGGTGCATCGCTCGTAACGCTACTGCATCGCTCGTACCCTGCAATTCGCAGCATACTCTAGTCGCAAAGTCTGACACCGGCCTGATGCAAGAGTTGCTGGTGTGTTTTTGCTCTCTTCTTCCTTCGTGAAATAGAACAGGGACTTTATTCCGGTGTGGTGTCTTTAATTACTTCTTGCATTCAAAAAATATATTCTATCTGATGACGCGCAACCAAATGTACCGACTCCAGGTCTGTCTATTTTCAGTAAAGAAAAAATAAGTAAAGTTTGTTGATCATCACTATGAGAACTTGAAATAGTTCAGCAACTGACCTTTTATCGACGGGATGTGGTTCACTAGACAGAAAGCGACTTTTCGCGTTTCGCAGCGCGAAACATTTTTCGCTGCGGGAACCTCAGGTCCACTCATGATCAGCGGTGGACCTGAGGTTCCCGCAGCGAAAATTTTCGCGCTGCGAAACGCGAAAAGTCGCTTCCGTCCCAGTGAACCACATCCTTGTCTCCGCCAAGTGTTTGAATTTTTCCAGTAGAGGTCTCGGCCCTTGTTTCTCATTCCAGTCTGTCTTTACTTACAGTCAGGTACTTTTTTCTATCTTGAAGACCTTAATCAAAAATTTGCAGAATATGTTAACATCGGGACATTCAGCGACCTAGATCCTTTCAAGGATAGTTGTGAGGACGACATTTTGATGCTTTGCTCTGGCCGATTTGAAACTCAGAACTTAACTAAATCAGAAGCCACCTCGGGAAATGATGCGCTGTCAGTTTTCTCCTTTACTTTCATTTGTTCTCGACTCTAATCGTTGTGTATGTTAAGTGATTCGCACGAAGACGTGAACCAAATCAAAGCGGCTCCCAAAAAGAAACGAGTTCTAATCGAATCTGACGAGGAGGAGGACGATGATGTAAAGCTTTCATTGGAGGGAACTTCTGAAGAGAAGGTGATCATGCTTTTTTGAGTTATTCCTGCTACCATGTAGTGGCCGTGCAAGAGGTTGCGTGCGCTTGCCCTCCTTTGCATTCCGAAACCACACAGAACTGACTTCTTGCTGCTGAGACGGTATAATGGCATTGTCGTGCGCGACATCGTTATAGCGACTAGTTTGCGACACCTTGTAGCTCTTTTGAGTTCTTTTGCGGTACAATTCCCCCATTCACGACGATGGCAGCCGCCGGCGGTTAGTGGGTTGTATCGAGTTTTTGTAAGCAGTTCACGTCTTCTGACATTCTTCTGTTGTGGTTACCGTCTAGAATGGGTGTCATATTCGTGATCTGGATGCCAAGTAACCATTTGTGCCAGTTTCTACTTACTACGGCACCATTAGGGTGCTCAGCGAAAATATTTTATTTTCCTCACTTCACCCCATTTAAAAAAAAGGTTGCAAGGAACCGTGTCAACCATCAGTCAATGTCATTTCGCCACTGCCTGGAACACGCCCGATCGCGATTGAAAGCAAAACTGGCGATAAAAGCTGAAGCTCATGAAAGAGAAAGATGTGTAGTGGGGGTGGTATGGGGTCCAAGTCAGATATGTGGCGTTTCCGCGGCAGAGAGCACCTCATCAACAAAATTATAGGATGCAAAAAATGTGCAGCACCTTGCCCTAGATGTGTTGCGCGATTTTCCTTTCAAGAACGCTCTTAAATCAAGTCACCCTACCCTCGAATCTTACTAATTTCAGCTTTCGCTTTCACGTATGAATGACTCTTTTTTTGCAGTACGAAACTCACCTTTCCAGGTCGAATCATCTGCACAGGGTCTAGTGGAGGAGAATGAAGTACTAGAGCGACCAACTCTTCAGCGAACAATTGTGCTTTCTGATAGCGAAGATAGCCTTCATTCTGATCATGGAGAGGACATCAAGAACGAGGAAGATAATGAGCGGGCGGAAGATGATCACAATGACTACAATGATGATAATGATGATGGTGATGCTGACTGTGAAAACGGTAGTGGTGATGATGCAGAGGAGGAACCAGAGGGCGGCGAAGACGACATTGAGAGAAAAGGTTGGATTATCGATTGGTTTTGGTTCAATTGTATTAGGTTGTCCCATAATTAGTGAATCACTTTACATTTATTGTTATTAAAAATCCAAGAAAATTGGTGAAGGCGTGAAACATGTTTTGCGAAGTAGCATCCACATTATCCTACTTGAGCAATTACTCAGCCCATTTCCATGCTGCCTTCCGTGGCTGATATTTCAATTTTTCTGGAACCTATTTTTGAGCTCCCTTCTTAATCACTTCTGATTAAGATCTTTCAAACGCCCAACAACATAGAGAATCGACCAGCAGATAGGCGAGGGCACGCTCCCTCAATCTCGGTCTGCTTGTAGTTCACTCTATCGAGAGGTTGGCTTTTTTAGTTGAAGATGACCCACACTCCAACTACCCCTCAACTGGCAATCTCAGTGCTATACCCAGCGCCACTAAGCGTGAATATGGACGAACTAGCCGCCTTTTGCTAGAGCATGCCCGACTTGTTAAAATAATGGAATGTAGACATCTACGTAGAGTTGTAACGATTTTAAAATATTTAATTTGTATCTCGTGTGCTTTGAGCTCGAAACAGCTCCGCACACGATCTGACATCGTCATGTTCCTTCTGATCTCCCTTAGTTCCTTACAGTGATCATCCAGCTTATTCACCAGGGTTCTGGACTGCGTGAAGTGTACTAGCAAATCTCCGAGGAGCAGTAGCCCAGCGTGAACGATTCGGGAGTTCTGATAGCAAAAGCCAAACCTCATTCTAGTCCGACCCTTCAGAGATATTGGTGGAGCACGAGAGTGACCATGCGCTGGGAACCGCCGCCTAGTAATACTAGAGTCACTGAAGAAGATCAACATCTACAGCGTAATGGCGGCGCATTCAATTTGAAAGTAAAGCAAGACAAAGTCTGCTTTTTTCCTGAGGTCGTTCGACCCACCTTGCGGAGAATATTCATAAAAAATTAGAGACTCTCAAGCTAGCCGATCTTCCACTTCCTCTGTGTGGCCCTATCCTCGTGCCAACAAGAGGCAACTCAGTTTGACCTCTAGCGCTCTTCCCCAGGAAGGAATTTTACGCTAAGTGACATGACCTCAAACTCGACTTCCGATCTTTCTTCGATCAATAGCTCCTGGAATTCTAGAGATAAGACAGCGACAAAATTTCCTTGTATAGGCAATACATTGTAGATGACAGGATGTATGTTTGGATGAGCAAAGACTCCATATGAAAAAGAAAAAAATTTGAATTCAAAAATACCCAAAGTGATTCACTAATTATGGGACAACCTAATAATAATAAAGCCGAGTTGATAGTTTTGGCGTTGATAACGAAAAGACTAATAAAACCTGCCCTTCCAACGCTCTCTCTCTCTCTCTCTCTCTCTTCTCTCTGCTAAACGTCTGAGGCGAGTGTTAGTCTCGTCCGTGGTGTATCGCGCCGACAGCGCCGCGGGGAGGGCCATGCTAAGTGGCTGGGGCATATCCTCCGGGGAATTGCTTGTCGACACACGTTCAGGGATCTGTCTGTCCACCACTTCGTAAGTTTCCCCTTCTTCGACCTTGAACTTTTCGTGAAATCAGGTGAAACTCCAGTTCGGGGGGGGGGCACTCCATTTTTTCCAATACTCAAGATAAGGATTAGAGGGCTCACGACACGTAATCGACTCATTTAAAGTAGACTTCTGATAAATATTGGTGTAATGGGTGAGAAACCCTGAAACGTTTTCACATTTCCGCCTGCCATGGTCCCAAGGGAACGGTCCTGGACCAGGAGAAAGGACACCTCCGCAAAGGGCTAAGGGTGCAGGAGCTCCAGGGTGGATCACCTGTGCAGAAAAGTGGATGGGATGTGGGCAGGTAGTGTGGAATGTAGGACATCCACCGGTCCTTATCAAAAGTACGCTCGAAATGAGTCGTTCACTTATTATCTTATCCGTAGTGTTCGATAGCCCAAAGAACTGCTCTCTAGTACTACGGATAAGATAGCAATGGAGTGGCCCCCCCCCCGAACTGGAGTTTCACCGGAAATCCTCCTTCGTAAAGGATATTGATACGATTTCTAGTGTCAGACTACTAGCTGTGCCATTCAAGTATTTTACTCACCATTAGTTCCCTTCTAGTAAAATGTCATAGTCATCCACTGCAGCATTGGTTTTAAGGTAGTTTCCACTCATTAAGTACTTTTTTGGGAAGCTCGGTTTTTGTTTTGTTGGTTAAATTACTTGTGGATATTGTTCTTACTTCGCTTTCAGCTAATGATTACATCGAAGAGGAAGCTGATTCGGACGACGAGCTAGCAGTTATAAGGAGGCTTGAGAAGAACGAATTTGAGAGGAAGTGAGTTTCGGCTGATCACATCTGTGTTTTTTTTCGTCGCTGATGTATTATAGTTCCAATTGAATGAGTTCATATTATCAGAGCCAATCGTGAGAAGTGGTTCGATGACGAGGCTTCTCTTTCTGGTGACGATATTGGAAGTGACTTGGATGAAGATGGAGATATTGCAAACGAATATGAAGCGGAAGAAGGTACATCGTGGTCGTTTTTCTGTGCGTTCCTTTTCTGAAACTTGGTTGCTTTCAGGAGATAATGATGATGTTCCCGATTCTGATGTCATTAGGAGGCAAAATCACAAACTCTTATTGAAGCAAGAAAAAGATCGTGAGCACAAAGAGCTAGTTAAGCTACAAGATAGGTATGTTTTCCATCGCAGTAGCACGGTCTTTTCGGAGATATTTCGTTCAGTACTGGATTTATAGGTTGCTGGCCGATGGTGACTTGGGTGGATCCGATACTAATAGAACATTCCGGTTAAAACTGCGAGAAGATGTGACTGTCATGGAAGGTGTGGAAGGAGACGCTGAGGCGCCAGAGGAAGAGCAGGATGAAGAAGTTTCTCAAGCTCATATTAGAAGAGTTGAAGCAATCAAATGGCTCATGGAGCACGTAAGTGTTGGTTGCTGTAGGAACTTCTTCGTATTTTTGACGATTTGCGTCTAATTTTTTTTGCTGTGAACGTTTTGAAGTTTGAAAAATATTCCAACTTGAAAAGTAAGATTAAATTAGCAGAAACGAAAATGTTGGCTCATAAGTTCATGCTTCTCTGGAGATCTATTCCTTTGAAGGAATCAACTCATGAGGGATTGGACGATAAGGAAGAGGAAGATATATTTGATGTGGCTGCTCGTTCAGTGCACATTTCTACAGAAGTCTGTGTTTAATACTGTTTCCAAAGCTCCACGCGATCTCTGCTTGGGCAACCCAGCCTCGCGAATGCGATCAAGGAAATTGCAGGTCTGTACTGTTTATGTTTGAAAGTTTAGGGAATTCGAGCTTGAAAAACGTTAGCATTGTTGTTTTTTTTTCATTTTCAGGTGTTTCGAGTGCAAAACAGCTTTACGTTAATAACTCATCCATGGAGCGGAAGAGATCATCTTCGCCTTCCTTGGTGACGGCTAAAAGAAGCAAGACGATGGTTAGCGTGTTGAGCGTTTTGGACCATTCCTGAAACCTTAGACAGAAACAAATGCTTTTGTTCTCATTGATTTAGTTTGTATAGGTTCCTACATCCATTGATCTTGCTATGTTGTGATTGATTCTCTTTGTGACCTCGTCTAAAATGTAAATTGCACTGTACTTTAATATTGACAGTTTTTCTAAGATTTCTAACCTAGACATCATGTATTTGCCATTTCATTGATCTAGTAACTAAGTTCGTGTGAAGCTCTAGCTAAAAAGCTAACAAGCTGACTACTCTGTTAAGTAGTAATCACTTTACTTACTTCGGCTAGTTAGCGGGCACAATCGCCTCTAATGATATAGATGATTCTGATCTTTGAACATAAATATTCAATTACGACACATATTTTTAAGCAAGCGTATCATACGCAATATACCTTCAATAATGTTGTGCCATAAAGGTGATGTACCTATAGTGTTATGGCCGTTTCTTAGCGTATTGTGTATGGCCATTTTTCAAGCACTGCGATGCTGCGGCGAGCGTTAGCACGTAGTTGGCAAGAAGCTGCACAAATTCCGCGCTGCATGACAACTTCAACACGCTGCTATGCTGCTGTGGGAGCTAAGGTGGTTCCTGCCAAGATCGACAAAAGTATAGCGCGAAGAGATGCCTAAAAAGTGTCGAAATTTGTCTGGCATAAAACTAGTTGTTTTTCTTCTTAGGGCCCAATTTTCTTTGGGATATACTTGAATACCTTGATGTCCGCTCTTCAAGGATTATCTCGCCATCCTTGCAGGACGCATCTATGCCATTCTTCTCGATTTCTTGCCATTTGTTGCCATCTCTGTCCAAATAATTTTCTTTTTTCTTTAGTATTTTCTTGTAATTTTCTTTGGTATCTAAAAGTTAATGATAATTGACTCGAAGCAAATCGTTCAGCTTTTATAAGCTGAGTTCCGTTTGGACGTGTGCAGTCGTGGGGGTGCCTTCGACGGAACTTTCGATGAGAGGTTTATTATTGGCATGTGTTCAAACTTCGGAAACAGTTTTCGCATCAATGGTAAGATGCCACACTGTCGTGCAACTTTCTTAATCCTTACTAATTCAAAGTGCATTTTAACGCTATTTCGTTGACAGGGCTGGTTGGTTTTCTTCACATGCTGAGGTGGTCTTATTTGCTCAGGCATTTTTTTTTCATTTTATACTAATTATACACATTAATTTACAATGCGATCTCAAGACGATGGCGGAAAGGTTTCTTCAAAGAGAGCTACTATTGTGTACCTTCGGGCTTCAGAGATACATGATATGAATTGGCAGCGTTTGATAAATTTGGTGAAGGAGTAACTGCTGCCGCTGGTAGAAGTCTCTGTAGGATCAGTGAAGCCTGACGTATTGTTCCATACGTCTTTAGCGACAGTGTAGAGCTAGCACAGTATACTTTAGACTGGAAGAAACCACATTTTTTTGGCAAGGCTGAGGCCTGTGTCAGACTTTGCGAATCGTGCGAACGGCCAGTTGTTCAGCGGTCCGAACGATGCACCAGCGACTCAAAAATGTGGGAAGGTGGCGGAAGTCCTTCTCCTTCGCACATAGATTGTCGCCACTTTCCCACGCTTTTGAATCGATGGTGCATCGCTCGTAACGCTACTGCATCGCTCGTACCCTGCAATTCGCAGCATACTCTAGTCGCAAAGTCTGACACCGGCCTGATGCAAGAGTTGCTGGTGTGTTTTTGCTTTCTTCTTCCTTCGTGAAATAGGACAGGGACTTTATTCCGGTGTGGTGTCTTTAATTACTTCTTGCATTCAAAAGATATCTATCCAATGCATCCTAATATGTTTGCTCCTTAGTTGGGTTCATACTTTTTTATGTTTCATCGTACGCTATCACAAGATTTCATGCCATGTGCAAGTTTTCTTTTTGCCATCAAGTTTCTTAATAACCGTATTACTTGCTGAATAATGTGGAGAGAAAAATTTCGTGTAGCCTATTGGAACCTGTAGCTAACATTATCATGATCAACATTCAAAGATCTGTGTGTCATCTTGGCGAAGTAATAATTTCAGGAGAGGAACCTGGTCCGAAAATACTGCCGGACTCTGAGTATCCCGCATGGCTTTTTGAGCTAGACCTACGACCTCCGCGCCCCCTTGAAGACCTCGACCCTGAAAAGGTTGTGTTTGATTTGTTCTCGCTCAGTGAATGCCGAAGTGGATAAACTGTACACTTTTAAGGATGGCTGGTTATACTGGAGAGCTCTGCGATGTCGTCAGATTGAGCAGAATCGGCGGATAGAGAAATTAAAAACAAGGTATGATTTGCATGACCAGTGTTTACAAGATATTCCTTCCTAACACACTGATTTGATGAAGATTTTTTTCTCTATTTCGCATTTTCAGGTTCCTCCATCTCCAAAACAGTCCAAGTATGAAAAAATTCAGTAAATTTTAGGAAGAATTATGTATGTGTAAGTATCTAAGGAGTTGCTGATGCATATACTAGTTGTATTCCATTATTCTTCAATTTTTTTTATTATTTCAGTGGAGCAATGAGCATCAATTTATCAAAGACAATAAATATATGACTAAACACATTTCACTTGAATTACATAATAAGACGTACAAAATTTCAGCTATTTGCTGCAGTCACAAAAGAATTGAGTTCATCGGATATTACAAGTCAAGTTTAAAACAACAAAGAAACATTTCCAAATATACATCATCGATCGAAATTGGTTTGGTGTGAGTTGAGCACCTTTTTATATACCTGGATGGGATTGATATCTTGCTCGAATTTCTGTTTTCGAATTTCATATTTATACTAGGGCAGCTTCATATTCCAGACCATATTTTTCCATCCAGTCGGCATTAATTTTGAAGGTACCTAAAATAGGTTGCTATTTTGCAATCAGCTTGAATCTGGTCCTTATAGTGGCCGTAAAACATCTGCCTAAATCGCTCTGAGGAAGAACTCTAGGTCATTTTAGCTACGAAATCGTTGATTCTTTCTGGCGCGCTCATGTCGTTGGGTGGGGATATTCAAGTGATTGAGCCTTTTACCGTACATTAGACTAAGCTTTAGGAGGGGAAGGGATTATGGGAGGATGTGAGCAATATTGTGCTCCCTGACGTTTCTCCCCTCTCCTGGGCTTAGTCCGATGCGGGTGCGGTTCCTTAGGACAGAAAGCGACTTTTCGCGTTTCTCTCAGCTACGCAAACATTTTCGGCTACGGCGGAAACTTCAGGCATGGATCAGCGCGGGGCCTGAGGTTCTGCCAATGAAAAATGTTTATCACGTTAGGAACGCGAAAAAGCGCTGTCCGTCCTAGTGAACCCACTGCCACGCTAATGCCACCTCATCAGCCACTCGTTTTGAATGTCCCCCACCCCAATGGACCATCGGGCGCTTTCTTTCTTTCTCAGCAATAGCCATTACTGAGTCTCCCAATGTTCACCAAGCTCGTTGAGGAGACAGTCCATAGGAATCCTTCTAGCTTTGACGCCCATCAATTAACCGAACCGACGTCCAGTGATGACTTCGTTTGTCTGAAGTCCTCTAGCGTGTATGGTTGGAAGACGCCTAAAAGACCAACAGAGGTCACTCTGAGAGGAAGTGAGTAGTTAGTGCTAATTACCTGATGCATAGTGCAAAAACTCCTCAGACACAGGGAACGCCATTGTCGTAGGGCCGAATAAAGAGATTTCTTTCTTCAAAATATTACGAATCTGAAAACATTAGGAAAAAGATCAGCATCTTTCTGGGGTATAGTTTCTCAGACAGACAGCGTCTTTCACGTTCTTTGCAGTGCCAACTATTCTCGCTGCGGGAAACCCAGTGGACTCTGGGGTTCTTGCAGCGAAAAAACTCGCTCTGCTAAAAGCGGAAAAGTCGCTTTTTAGCCTAGCGAACCACGAGGGTGTAGGTACTATTCAAAGAGCCACGATGGGGAGTTGACTTACTTGAACTAGATCCATAGGAGTAGATGACGTTTCGTTGAGGTGACCGATTATAGTTGGAACCTGTGCTCTGACTTTGCCATCGCTGCTGACCGTCATACTTCGAGGGTACATAGAGTATGCTAGCGATGCTGAAAAGCTCCATTCTGTACTGCTTTTGGGCTCAATATGGCTCGGGGGGGGGGCAGTCCACATGACATAGTGGAAACTCAAACATTTCAACTTTTCACGCATGTCAAGTGACTGCCCTCCCCCTCCCCCCTACCGCACTAGATTGGCTACACTCCCCTGGTTCACGGATTTCCCGCTTCACACTGAGGTACGTGGACAACGTGAACATGCCACGCGCCGTGGCGGCGACCGCCCCCGGGTGTGGTTCACTAGGACAGAAAGCGACTTTTTCGCGTTTCGCAGCGCGAAACATTTTTCGCTGCGGGAACCTCAGGTCCACCGCTGATCATCAGTGGACCTGAGGTTCCCGCAGCGAAAAATGTTTCGCGCTGCGAAACGCGAAAAAGTCGCTTTCTGTCCTAGTGAACCACACCCCCCCCCCCCCCCCTCCGACACAAATTGCGCCTGCTTTTGCACTAGAACAGTTCAGTGAACGAACCATAGTGTTTGTCCTCGTCATATTTGTTCTGATAGTAGATATCTTGACATCGACGTACGCATATTCGATTTTTCTCCGCGGCAAAGAAGGTGGCTGGTGAACAGGGCACACCACAAGACCGATCGAACGAATATGGTCGGCAACCGTCTCGTCCACCTGCAACTGCTGAATGAGAGTGACTGAAAAGTGGGGTACATAGGAAACAATTGACCTGTCACAATGCCTTCGTTCACCCAGTAGACGAGCGCCTTCAGCGGGTCGCCACCGTAGCAGTTGCCACAGACCGCACAGCAACCGAGCACGTCCTCTTCGCTCAGTGAAGCTTGAAACGTGCCATTCGACTTGATACAGGCTCGATCTGATGCTACACCGGCGGCTGCTACGGCCTGAATATCATAGGGATAAAAATGAATCCTATTTAACCATGTCGGGCCATGATGTTGCATAAACTATTGATAAGGGTAGATCAGTGTCGGGATGCGCCCCGTTTACGCATTTCATTCAAAATCGTGGAGACATTTGATTGCGTATCTGGTCTGTGCGATGCTTTGACAGCCCATGGTCTGTTACTTTATGTTCACATTTGTGTAAGTTATCAAGTAATGTGTCAGTAATTAATCTCGGAGTAATGAAAACTCATATTGCTATCACGGGAACCGATCTACCAACTAATAGGAGTATCAGTTGGCTCTAGCTACTTATTCATCTCGGTGGTGATAAAGAGCTATTGAAAATCCCGGAACTGGCATCATTAAAATGTGAAACAGGAGGTGCAAAAAGAATCGTGAAAAAATAAACGGAAGAAGGTCAAAATTTGGATTAGACTCCTTGTTCATCTGTTAGTTATTGGAGGGGGCGGGATACCCAACAGGAGGCCCGTTGCGCTGCGAGAAGGCAGGGACGCAGACGGGTTCGCGGACGAGTCGCGGCGCGTGCTGTGTGATGTGGGAAAAATGAAAGTCAGGAGTTTTTGCTGACCTTTCGATTCGTCTTGAGCAGAGCCATCGGTTGGTATAACGTTCAAATCGCTCAATCCATTTCTTCAAGAGTTATGGCAAGCCGACGCTTGCGACGGTTT